GGAAAGATTACTGAGAAATTAATTTTGCATAATTGCATAAGTTGATTTTTAAAGTAAAAAAGCACATAAAAATGTGGATAAAAATCGTAGAATAGCTTCGTGTTGAATACAAACATTCAGTTCTCACATATGTCATTATTATTGTTGCAATGTTACTCGCATTATCAATAAAGTCAATGACCCTGGCAATCACAAGGAAATGGAACGTCTGCAGATTGCAACGCATTATTTTTTCCTTTCTTGAATGATATTGACATGTTACATTTAATTCGATAAAGAGCGCATATATTAAAATGACACGAACATGATAGATACAAGACAGAACATAATAATAGATACGACGCAGAACTTGATGGATGTTAATGGACAATGAGTTATTCCGGCAATATATAGTCCGTTATACAATCCGATCATTTTTATTTATTTTTATTTTTAAAAAATAAGAAAAGTATAATGCAGAATGTTCTGGTGACCCTTAAGTTTAAAATATAAAATTATATACTTTATTCACCCACAACTATGTGTAGAATTATTTTATTTCCTAATTCTATAAAATTAACAAATATGCAAAATTAATTTTTTACTAATTCATTAATTCGTCAATGTTTCACTGAGGATGACAAATCATTATTCATTATCGTACCATCATTAAAAACATGTATTTTTTAGAAATTTACAATTATATATAAATTCAGTCGTTTTATGATATATTGCTTTTGTGCATAGTGCCGACCAATTATGCACCTGTCACTACTTATTATGTAAAAATCTCTTCTGATTTATTAAGACGACAAGAGCAAGAATCAAATAACATATAAGGTCAACAAGTTGATCTTTTGCACGATGGCGTATGTGTAGAATACGCAAATAATGAATAGGCAAAGCCTCATGTGTATTATATAATTATACATAATAACAGATTATCGAAATGGAATCAATTTTTTAATTGGACAAATAATAGTAATTTTACTTAATCTAACCTGGATAATCATACATTACTTTTTTTCTACGGTTGAAGAGCATTACGAACGTGATGAAAGACGCCTCGTACATATCCAGATGGGGGCTCAACACGTTGATTCGTCGAACGGACACCCATCCTCTGGTTGAAATGACTGCGCGCGAGTTCATGTTCGGCTACCAATCGACTCTCGTTACTCTCGGCAATCAAGTGATGCCCAACTGGATCAAATTCGATAAGCTGGGATTAATCGATAGAGTAAGAAATAGTCTAAACAACGACTTCTTTAATACGCGAGATCTAATACGAGCCATAATAGCTCCAAAAAAAAAAAAAAATAATAATAAAATGTAATTAATAAAACTAGCTAAATTTAGAATTTATTTATTTATGGTAATTAATTAAAAAAATTTTGTACGGCCTATTTTTCAATTGCGTTTTATTATTCTAGTAACGTAAATTCTACAAAACTCAAGATTCTTAATAATACAAGTTTTACGTTTTACTGCATTTTATAGATGTACGATTTTAACGGTGATTTCGAGACCATTTATACGGGAGAGATCGATCATCGAATGTCGGGCTTGATTGATACGTACAACGGAGACGTAAACCTACCGCAATGGACCGGAAAATGCGCGAATGTGCATGGTGCGAGCGACGGCGTCAAGTTTCCAAGCTACATTGAACCGAACGATACGCTCCTCTTCTTTCGCAAGAGCCTGTGCCGGAGCGAACGAATGGTAATTTTGGTTATTGCAATCCTTTCGACAAAATGATTAACTCGTCCGATTAAAAATCTTGTGCCAAGTCATGCGATGTGTATGCCAATATTCTGTTATTAACTTTCTGCACTTATAAGCTCGTAAATTGCTCTTAGGAAATTCTCGGGTGTATCCCTCGAGCAATTTGGCGTCGATATCTAGGCGCAAAAATTTCATATTTTTTCACTCCTTAACTCACAACGTTAAATTTCTTCTATAATCCCGAATTAAAATTCCAATGAGTAACGTAAACTGGCACTTATAAGTGGCATAAACCTTTAATTATTAATCATGAGTTAAAAATTATTGAATATCTCAACATATATAATTTTTTACTAAATAAAAATTGTATTTTTTCTTTTTCTTCTGTATATAATAATATCTCTTTTTTCCAAAGATGCGAATCGGAGAGAAGCAAATAAAGGGTCTGCATACGTATCAATATGCGTTCGTGGAGAATGAATTGGACAACGGAGCAGTGAATCCAGAAAACAAATGCTTCTGTCGTAAAGGACGCTGTTTGAAACCCGGTTTAATCGACGTGACCGATTGTTACTACGGTAAGATATTCATATACTAATTAATCAATGTTTTGCTGGATTACTTCTAATTGAAAAAAAATTATTATTATTATCGAAACGTTCATATAGACTTGTTGCGACATTGACTTTTGACAAACAAATTAATACACTTAGTATTTTTTCTGCTTGATATTTATTATTATTAGTTATTACCCCCTCGAATTATAATATAATATATATATATAATATATTTTTTAGTATATATATTTATTATATTATTACTAAACACGATGCTTAACTGGCTCTCGTACATGTTATGAAATACATATAAACTTTTCAATCTGCATCACGAAATCTACGACTTTTACGTTACATATTTTGTATCGATCGTGGCCATCCGATTTTTCTCCATTGAAATCGTGTCGCAAGATTTCGATTGCCTCCATCGTATTACAAGGAAAATCGGCAGTTTTGACTAGAAAGGCGCGCATGTAGGATAAAAAAAATAAACGAAAAAATTGCTGTCATGTCTTTTCCTCTCTAATAATAAGTAGCGCGCAAATCGATTAGCGATGATTGATTTGCCTTTTTGCGCTTTCATAAGCGGATCCAGAACATTCGACTCGAATCTTCAAGATTAATGCGATGCAGCAATTTTGCACCGGTACGGTATATTATGCACTTGTACCGATAAAACGCAACAAGCGATCGAACATCACTGATGCATCGGACAACATTCATGATAGTAACATTATGTCATGTACGATGATTACGACATTGATGACCGCGAGAAGCTGTTTCCATTGAGTAACGAACGACGCAAGACACTTTACAGAGAATTACAAACGTGTTAACATCTCGTGTCATATTCCGACGATTTTATCGCCGAAAAGGCTACATTTTTATCAGATTTAAAATCACCTATTAATTTAAAATCAATGTCAAATTGTTTTAGTATCTGCCGATTTCCCATTATACATATCAGGCATTAAAATATAAATAAGAAATGTGAAAAATGAAAAAGGCCTGATAGTTATATTAATACAAATGCAAATTATGTGTTATAAATTTTAGTCCGTGGATATTATATATATTACGGTATTTCATATATATAATCATATTAAAAATTACTCGTATTAAAATATTACAAAAAATTTTTTTAAAAGTGAAGTGCGTGAGAGATATCTTTCGTACATCATATTCTTGTTTCCGAATTTAATTTGTCAAGCGGAACAAGATTGCATTTAAATGATATTATAGATGTAAATATTATCCGTTTTGTTGCAGGATTTCCTATCGCCCTGTCATATCCACATTTCTATAAAAGCGACCCGTCATTATTAGAAGCTATCGAAGGATTGGAACCTACAAAGGACCTACATGAATCCTACTTCTTCATTCAGCCAAAATCCGGGTTACCCGTGGACCTGGCATTCCGATTTCAAATCAACATGGCCCTGCAAGATATCGGACACATGGCTAGGGTGGAGAAATTCAGTCATATGACGCTTCCACTACTATGGTTTGAAATCGTAAGTATAAAATATCAAAAAATATGCTCAACCAAAAAAATAAAAATATTATTTGTAATATTTTTCTCTAACAAAAGCTTAGCCAAAAGATTGATACATATTTAGAGTTACCTCTGTATTATATCTATTTTAAATTGAATAATATGTCATTGATTAAAACAATGATAAGATTTAACGGAAGATCAATGAATAGTTCATTAATCTTTAGTGAAAACACTTACACTTCGCTCCTCCGTCTTATTTCACTGATTATGACAGTAAGATTTCATTAGAATATCAGCCACTAACTGCTTCTCAATAAGATCTTACTGTTTTCAATCCTACATTTGAAACTATACTTATCAGTAATAATATATTGATTCTATTTAAGAGAATATTTTTCTATATTATATCTATTATATCTTATTCATAGCGTTGACAAAATATTCCATTATTTTGCTCCACGAATTTGTCCGATTCGTTGAACGATGACACGCACGTAAACACCTCAATAAAAAATCTTTTGTTCCTCAGGGAATGTACGAACTACCGACCGCGATGCAACTACGTTTCTGGTTTTATATAAATTTCATGCCGATTTTGGAGGAAATGGTTTTATATCTGGCGTTCTTATTCGGCATGATACTACTTGTTTGGTGCATAATAAGGATACTATCTTATCAAGCAAACGAATCGCCGGAAGAGGGATTGGAAATGGAAAAAGAAATGAGACGAAAACGGGCCCAGAAAGATGAGCGTATCAATGAAAAGGCTAAAGAGATGGACGTGTACAGTTCGCTCTTGTTGCTTGGTGATGCAAATCTAACAATAACAGTGTAATAATTCAGTGATCTAGCCGTAACGCGTGAGCGAGCAAAATATTATATCTTCAATAGCCCTTCGGCTATATGCATATAAAAATTTTTTACTAGTTGGAAAAACGTGCGCGTAATCATTCATAAAAATGTTCAATCAATAAAAATTTTGTGAATGATTCCAATAAAAAGAAATCAGGACGTTATGATTCTTTCTCTTCGAAAGAGAACGCAAATATAATCTAGATATAGAGAACATCCTACATGAAAATTAGCGTAATAAACTCCTAAAAACACCTGATGTAGTTCATTGCTTAATGACAAAACTGCATTTTCCATTTGCGTTCAACTACGCATATTTGCATTAACATAAAATTTTATATAACAAAATAATATAACAAAGTATTATTTTGCTATACATATTATGCATAGTATATATTATATATACTGCCACATACACATGCGTATTATACGTACTAGTATATGCTACATACCCAAGTACACGATCAACGGATATTATCAGGGTATTCAAAATCATAAAATTCATTCGATTTAATTAAACACGATTAAATCATGAATTAATTCATGAACATTTTTAATTTTCGACTTTTGATATTCTAAAAAATAATAATCGCAAACTTTCCAACTATTTTCTGGTACTTCATATCTTAATAACAATGTTATATATCTATCTAATAATAAACAAGTTATTTTCTTGATAATTATTCGCTATAACGAGATTTCCCATATGTTAGATAATTGCAAGCTGCTTGTATTATATTGAAATGTTTTATCTGTTACAGAGATCACTTAAACAATCAATTTTCTCAAGCTTTTAAAAAAAAATATGCGCTTCATTGAATTTTTTAATAAAGAAATAAATCGGGATGATTTGGCTTGTAAGATATTTCACTTATTTAATGTGCTAATATGTGTCATATAAATCAATAATTAAAAAATATAATTTAAAAAGTGTAACTCTCCGGAGAGCAATGAGATCAGGTTAACTATCGCGTTGGAAATATCGTGTGCAAAAAATAATTACGTTCGACAAAAAAAAAAAAAAAAGTTATTTACGCGCACATTAATTACAATAAAAATTTATAATATTATGAAATAAAAAGAAAGAAATATGGCATATATTATACTATATGTTACTGTACGTTACATCGCAATTACTTTATAATTATTGTGTGTTGATTTATATTATTGCAAAAACATTTATACTTATCTATTATGTATTTTTATTTTATGTTGTGTATAACTTAAACTAATTTTTAGATAAAATGAAACAATTACTAAAGAATTAATTTGAAACTATTGTAATTCTTTACATTATTTTTTTTAAGGAAATTTCTATTATTCTCCAAGGGCTACAACGTGAATTTATCTCTTATATTCATATTAAATGTCAATGGTGATTTCTTATTACTAAACTTCAATTGCTATGCATAACATGCCAGCAATCATATCTGTGATAGTTTCATTTTGCTTTTTTATGTTTCATTTTCGAACAGTATTCTTTTAAATACATAAAAATGATGTAGAGAAATAAGCTATGTCAATATAAGAATATACTGATGCATTTTTATTGCCAATTTCATCAAATTTATGTTAGTTAACAGATTTTAAATTAACGATCCCCCACATATTTATCTTTAGAAATAAAGATAATGTAATAATTTTCAAAGTAATTTAAATTTTTTGTTTTAAGTAATGTTGACGAAATAAAAATTGTTTTTAAAGTATTACTGTAAATTTAACAGAGTTATCTTTATTAGCAAAAAAAATGGATAAAATTAGCTATCATCTTTTAAATGCATATTTGACATGTATACATATAATATACATCTATATATCGGTTAGTCTATAATTTCATCACTTGTCATACATTGTTATTTAAGATTGTTATTTCTTCATTGCAATATTGAATTATCATATCTAAAATGAGAAATTATGTAAATCATTTAATGTGCGTTATACATCTAAATCAGTTTTTTTCTAAACCAACCATTCACGTTCGCAAGAAAAAGTTTACATGATTTTTCGCTCTTGACGTAACTCAATGCCGTAAAGCATCAAAAACCATAAACTTTTCTATGTATTTTTAATTGTTTCTTCTACTTCAAAAAGAAAAATCATTTTTGGTTTAACTTGTCATTTATCGAACAATATATGGTAAAATTTCTAAATAAAATAAAGCATTGCAGGTATATAAATATATAGTAACATTAATAAGCAATCTATATGTAGTAATACATTTATGTAATCTGCACATAGTTTTTTTTACCTCACATCGCTTCCTTGTAAATATGTAAATAATAAATTATTGAATATGCGATATGTACTACTGAAATATTATATCTATTATCTAATCATTTTTGCATTTTTGTATTTTATTTTAATATTGGAAAGCTAAAAAGAAATGTGATCTTTTTATAAATGCGAGAAGTTATATGATTTTTTTTAAATATATATATAAATATTAGCATATATAAATAAATATATAAATAATAGCTCAACGAGAAATATTTTTCTCTAGAAAATATCTTGCCTGATTTATACACAAATATTGAAAATATGTAGCTTTAATATTAATTATAATCAATGTGTTCACACACTTATTTGTTTAATGAAATATTTAGAAATATAAGGATAGATTTGTAATATGATTTACGTATATACCATAAATCTTATGAAACTTTCTTTTTACACACGTAAAATATTACAATGTAGTGTGATAATATTGCGTTACTTTAATTTTATAAAAATATTCTTTGTATGTGACACAAATTGGAGTAATAAAAAAGTTTATAATACAAATATGTAGAAATATTGATCTAAAATTTTCCATGTTTTCTTTTGTCTTTCTTTCAACAATATATCTTCCGCATTTCTTAGAGGTAAACATATGTTAAAATTACATACACCAACAAATTTTATGATTGAAATAAAATATCTATAAACAGTTACATTTTTTGCAGCCATATATCATAATTATATATTTAATTATTTTTAAGATTTTGTAGATATAATTAGAAATTTATTCCCAATAAAATTTATCGATTATAATTATCGGCCTTACTGACGATACATAACAAGTCATAATCCCCTGTAATAATTATTCGATAAATTGATTGTAATAATTATTTTATCAGTCCCCAAATGTCAATGAAAATTTTTTATACACAACGCATCTATATATCACACCGCTTGTTATAAAATTATCAACATAAAACAATGATATATTAAACGCGATTCGAATGCTGATTGCCGCATTTTCTGGCTAAAAAAAAATATCGGTAACTTCATGAAATAAAGCGAGATTGTAAACTTTATTTCAAATATAATTATGTTATTTAGATATCTAATATATTGATCATATATATATATTTCGTATTGCAATAGTGTGATTATTCAATTATCTTTTATTATATATTCGTGCCATTACTTGACTTACCTCTTAAAGAGACTCGTATCCGTCCACAAAAAATATCGTGTACGTAATATTACTTTTCGCACATAAACTATTGACGATATTTGGAAAATATTAATCTGTTTCCACTCGCAATGTATAAATCATCATAACTCCACCGTAATAATTATTCAGTTACCTTTTTATATCAAATTTCCGTAATATAGATTTTTCCCAAACGATTTTTCGTGCGCGACGCATCTATTACATATCGCTCATAATTACCAACATTAAGACGTGATATATCGAATGTGACGCAAGCACATCGACTTCCGTGTTTTCTAGCTATTCGACAAATGTCGGTAACTTCACAAAGTAAAACCGAGCGCGCGATCGTATTTATTTCGAAACGCGATTCGAATGCTGATTGCCGCATTTTCTGGCTAAAAAAAAATATCGCTAACTTCATGAAATAAAGCGAGATTGTAAACTTTATTTCAAATATAATTATGTTATTCAGATATCTAATATATTGATCATATATATATATTTCGTATTGCAATAGTGTGATTATTCAATTATCTTTTATTATATATTCGTGCCATTACTTGACTTACCTCTTAAAGAGACTCGTATCCGTCCACAAAAAATATCGTGTACGTAATATTACTTTTCGCACATAAACTATTGACGATATTTGGAAAATATTAATCTGTTTCCACTCGCAATGTATAAATCATCATAACTCCACCGTAATAATTATTCAGTTACCTTTTTATATCAAATTTCCGTAATATAGATTTTTCCCAAACGATTTTTCGTGCGCGACGCATCTATTACATATCGCTCATAATTACCAACATTAAGACGTGATATATCGAATGTGACGCAAGCACATCGACTTCCGTGTTTTCTAGCTATTCGACAAATGTCGGTAACTTCACAAAGTAAAACCGAGCGCGCGATCGTATTTATTTCAAACATAATTACGTTACTTAGATATTTAATATGTTGATCATAAATGTATTTCATATTGCAATAGTATGATTATTCAATTAATGATCTTCTATTATTACTTTTGCTATTACTCGACTTACCTCTTAAACAAACGCGCACCCGTCCACAAAATATATCATATACGTAAAATTACTTTCCGCACGTAAACTATTGACGATAATTGGAAAATATTAATCTGTTTCCACTCGCGATGCATAACACATCATAATTCTACCGTAATTATTTGATTATCTTTTTAGATCAAATTTCCGTATAGATTTTACCCAAATGATTTTTCATGCGCAACGTGTCTATTATATCGCTTGCGGTTACCAACATACTAACATGAAGATGTGCTATATCAAATGTGACGCAAATACTAATTGATTCCCGCCTTTTTGGATAATACAAATATCAGTAACTTTACGAAATAGAAAGAATCATGTATTTATTTCGAAAACAGCGTTACTTTTATATCACTTGCCTAAGAATAAATATAAATACGTTAGATGTAAAATAAAAGATCTTTCAAGATTGACTCATAAAACTTACAACAAATTTATGTATTCCTTCTTTATCTGTAAAATATAGAAACAATGTTATTTATGTTTATTAAAATTTCTAATATCTGGAACATTGTATATAATAATATCAAATATAAATTTTTGAGATTATCTTACCAAATATTTTCTTTCTTAACATACTGTAATGCATTTCTCTGCAAGTTTTTGAGAATGTTGCTCTGTCTGGAAGACGTTCTGATGGATAATATTTCATCAGATACGATTTTAAAATTTCTGCTGTTTTGAATTGTATAACTTTATCTGCAGGTACTTTTAGTCTATTATTACTTTTGTCTTTTTCGTGCTGTTTTAAATGAGATAAGTGAGCAGTTTTTTCTTTTTTCTTTAATTCTACATTAATTTCCCCTTCCAAATGCTTCCTCGTTTTATCTTTTTCCGTCATCGATAAATCATCATTTATAGTATTAATGTTAGTATTCATATCTGCATTTCTTTTCTTAATCACTTCTCTGTCAATTTCATCGTCTAAAATCTTTTTATCGATCTTTTCATCGATATTATACGTATCATTATTAATTTCATCATTGCATTTACTATGTACAATTCTTCTTTTCTTAACAGGTTTTATATCATCCTCATGATGTTCAATGACTTTGTAATCTCTTTTATTTTTATTTCTATTCTTAATTTCATCTTTGTTTTTAATATGCTCAATAACATTATCAACTTTTGGTTCTGTGTCAAGAAAGATATCTCCTGTTTCATTTGTAGTTTTCTTCGATACTGATCGTGCTGATGCTAAAATTTGTTCATAAACTGTTTTATCTGTTTTTTTAACATCTTTATCTGTTTTACTTCTGCGAACTTTTGATTTAGAGAAGTTTGTATTCAATTTTGATTTAGAAGAACTTGTACTAACTTTGGATGTGCTGCCATCATAAATTTTTCGTGCACAGACAAAATCATTTGACATTTCAAATGGTGTTTCGTTTCTACATGTATTTTTTTGTGTACTATTGGAATCAATAATAGATATTTCATTTTTAATTTGATTTAGTTTGATATTTTTAATCTTTTTATTTTTGTCTGATATAAATGCCTGTGGCCTTTCTTCATTTAAAATCTCTAATGCAGTTTTAAATGTGGAAGGGAAAATCGGTTTACTACATTCGATTGACAGGCAAGTATTCTCATTAAGTTCGGATTTAGTTATATTAAATTCTTGTTTGCTATTAAATGTATCAATATTGTTAGAATTGTTAAGTTCTATGTCATAACATTCTGTTTCATTACAATCATATATTGTTTCGTAAATAGTATTATCATTAGTACATTTTCGTATCGATGAAATCTACATGAATAAAGCAACACAAAAAAATATTGTATGTGTGAAGATTTTATGACAGAAAAATAATTTGTATATGTATATAAATATATGTCTATATATATAGAAAATATTACATACCAATTTAGATATATCAAATTTGTACTTATTTGGTACCTTAGTACTGGAAAATATTTTGTATTCTATGTTATTAGCCATTTTATGTATATCCTTCTCCTGAAGTTGTTTGTTATCTTTTGAAGAATGTTGATGATTCTCAAGTAACGCTACTTTCAATTCATTGTAAAAGTGTTCTCGCATCTAAAAATAATGAGAAAAATAATTAGAACTATGTAAAAATACTGAGAAAATATTAAATGCAAAAAATAATAGTACATAATGTGTCTTACTTGAACAGTTAAACCTTTAATTCTTTTATCTGTACTGTCAGCTGCACGGACATGTGCTATCTTCGCGTATTCAATGTTTTGTCGCTTTATCTAGAAGAAGAGAATAAAAAATAAAAATAAAAGTGTGAAAAAAAATGTACCCGCAGCAAACTTACTTTATCCTCTTTAGATGCACTGCGTCTAAGTGCAAATTGTTCCATAATAAGTTCTCGTCTTTCTCGCTTTTCAGCTGCTATAATTTTCTCTCTTGATTCTTCTGGCTCATCGAATTCATCACTATTATGCAATTGTAAACACTTTTATATGTGAGCAGCATTTAACAACACATTAAAAAAAAATATTTGCTATCAATATTAATTTGTTAAATTAATTTTTTACATACATTTCATGGTCGCCGTATTTTATTTGTGTTACACTGCCTACATTACTTCGGAATTTTTTAGTTGTACTCTGATACATTTCAAATTGAGCAATTCTTGCTCGCACTTCGTCTTTGTTTTTACATATGTCACATCTGTTTCTGCAAAGCGGAGGAGAATCTCCAAAATACTTGGAAAATATTGCATGTCGGCATCTGTAAGAGGTTATAAAAAAAATATAATTATTACCAATATATTTAAAATGCAATTCTTAAACAGTTCTTTAAATATTAATATCATAAGATCTGTTGCTGTAATTGTAATATAGTATATTCTAATGTATTATATCTTTATTCCAAAGAAGATTCCAAGATTTGAAAATATATATTTAACAGATCTTTTGATAAATAATATATTCTCTTTTATTTTTAATAATTAAATTTTTGTTTATAACAAAGAATAGAATATAGATCGTACTTTGCCTCTAAACAATATGCAACACTTTTTTCAAAATCTTGCCATTTAATTTTTGCGAGTTCTGAATTTTTATGTGTAATATGCGTAATTTCCTCCTTAATAAGAAATGAAATAGGTCCGTATTCTTCATTGCTAAAATAAACTCTGCAAAATGCTGGGTTGCCATCTCTGCCAGCCCGTCCTGATTCTTGATAATAAGCTGCAATATTCTTAGGTACTGTCCAATGAATCACAAATCTACACAAGTTCATATAATAAAGATATTATTTTTTTCTTTCTATATTAGGTTGCTTATCAAAGATATTATAATAATCTACCTAACAGATCCTTTGTCGACACCCATTCCAAAGCTACATGTTGCTGTGATGACAGAGACTTCACCTGTTGTCCATTTATTTTGCACTTCATTACGTTCCTGAGTTTTTAAGCCTATTTAAGTATTAAAATAATATATAACATTGTTCTTGTGAATTTGTATCAACACGCTACAAAAATCGTACATACTCCCATGATATGCCAGTGTTGTAATTCCGGCAAGAGTCAATTTATGTGCAACAATTTCAGTTGTCTCCTTTTTTCTACAATAAATGATACCACAACTCCTTTTATGCTAAAAATATGTTTAAGAAATCTGTAATGTTATTCTCAACAATTCATAAAGTACCATATAATGACAATAAAATTTAAATCACCATGGGAATAGAATTATCTGAAGGTCCTAATGCATCTGAAATAAAGTTTTTTAGATGTTCAAATGGTTTGTCTAATGTTTCTAAGAACCACACATCATAATATAGATTGGGACGAAATACTGGCTGAGAGAATATCAATGCATCTTTCATATGCAAACTTTGGAGAATATCGTCTTTTACCTGTAACAATATTCAATATTCAATATATAATATATAATTATATTTAATATATAATATGACCCCCCTGAAAACTGTAAACTTGAATTGTTTTTAAATACTTGTTTTGCAGCAGTTGCTGTTAATGCAATCATAGGTATTTTGGGGCACAATTTCTTGAACACTCCCAATTGTCTATAAGTTGGCCTAAAATCATGACCCCATTCACTTAAACAATGAGCTTCATCAATAACAAAATAAGAGAGTGCTTTTTTTTTGCTCAATTTGATTACAGTTTCCTATAAATTAAATGTATATTAAAATAAAAATTAAGTAATGAAATTTTTATATACATTGTATCTTTAAAATTAATTTTTAAAATGATTTAAAATTGTCTTAATCATTAAAAAATCATGTAATATAAAATAAAAAAAATAAATTAGCAAAACTAAACAGTTTTTTATATTCTGTTTGTTGTATTGAGAGAAAATATAATCAAGATACAAGTAGTTTTAATAACCACATATATAAGAACTGAAAGATGCAATACCTGAAAATGCTGTTGTGCTCCCATTTCTGGAGTGACATATAACAATTTTATTTTAGGTGAATTTGACATAAGATCTTCCATGATTGTATTTCTTTCTTTGCTTGATGTTGTAGAGTTTAAGGAACAAGCATTTATTTTTTTAGACACTAAGAAATCTATTTGATTCTAGAAATATAAATTAAATCAATACATAATATTATTGCAATAAGAACTCTTTTTCTAGACTCTTACATACACAGAAAAATATAATATACACCAAGTACAAAAAATACCTTCATCAAAGCTAGGAGTGGTGAAAAGACAATCGCAACTTTCTGTTCTTTCATTATCGCAGGTAACTGAAAACAGAGAGACTTTCCAGAACCGGTTGGCATACACACGAATACATCTTGCTTTCCTAAAATTATCAAACATTTTGTGTGTGATTATTTTTTACAAATCTGATAAACATATTCACTGAAGAAAAGAATTATATATTTTTCCAAGGGGAAAAGGTACATATAGCAAATAACTGATAAAATCAGTAATCTGTATGTGTGAAAGAGATTAATTTTCCATAAAAACCTTTGTGAATGGCAGTGATGGCTTGTTTTTGAGTGTCATTTTTAAAATTGTCATAACCGAACTTCGATTTCAAAACGCTCTGCAACATTTTAATATATACATATATTTATCGTTGTACGGTTCTTTAAGAATGTGAAGCCAACAAAACAACGTATCAGATACACTTGCTACTTTTCACGTATCAGATACAGTTATTTTTTTGCAATGGATTTATCGAATAAGCATGATATCCACACTATTCATAAAAACACACGCCACATAATAGTATGTACAACACGCTATCATCAGCTATCATATGAAAAGGAAGGTTATGTCATTCACAATATACGTAAATGAATGTATATGTGAATGAATGATTTATAGTATATACAGCGCACCCTAGGGTACGTTAGAAATTTTATTTGTGAAGTAGAATAACATTGAATTGCCCAATCAGGACAAAGTAATCATTGCTCCTTTTATCCTGATTGGTTAATTAAATGCTACTTTACACGGTACAATTTTCGAACGCATTCCTATTCGGACACTAACACTAACCAGTGTCACTAGTCCAGTGATGGGATGGTAGCGTTTAGTATCCATTCTGGCATCACCGATATTGATACATACATGACACATACACACACATACACAGAGCAGAGAAAATGGCGGCACTAATGAAAGCCGTGCATATTTCCAAAAATGTGAATAACATAATGAAACTTTTCACGAATTTGTCTTTGACACCGAGTGTCATTACTCCTTCTAAACATATATTTCTTCGCAGGTTCGTATTACATCCCTTTCAAAATGTGTTATTTACATCTTATTTCACCCATTCTAATTAGTGTTTTATTTTCGATGTAATTTTTGATTTTAAGTTAAAGGAATTTTCTAGATATTTGCGATGTAATAAATAAGCATTTAGTTAATATAAAATCAATTTTTAATATATAAGTTATCTATTAAGTATTTTTTTTTCTCTCTTTTCTGCATACAAAGTTAAATCATACATTGTCACTATCATTGTATATTTAGCTTTTCGAGTAATATTTTAATGCATTTCCTTTATGAATATAGCACACCAGCTTTGCATTGCGCATTTATACACATTACACCGGACTATCGTGATTTGATGGAATTTTTCGATCAACCGAAAAATTGGGGTCAAAACGAAGTGAAGGTTGGTCGATCTTGGAGAAAGGATGAATTAAGATTGAAGAGTAATTCAGATCTTCATAAACTATGGTAAAATTTGCTATTCTGGATTATTTACATATTTGTAGATATCACTCAGTATTTATCAAATTCATATGTTTAAATAAATACAGGTATGTATTATTGAAGGAACGTAACATGCTTATGACTATGGAAGAGGCATGCAAAAAAGAGAGTGAGATCTTCCCAAATCCTGAACGTTTAGACAAAATTCGAAATAGTATGAATAATTTGGAATCAATTGTTCGTGAAAGAAACAGAGCATACCACATGCTCGAAACTGGTGAGACAGGAGAACGTCCTGGAAAACTGGTTTATAACCGCCTAGGTAAGATCTGTACAATTTATATAACTTCCATCATATGATATACTGATAAGATTTCTCATCCAGTACAAGTCTATAAAAGATGCCTAAAAAACGATTTAAAGACATCTTATTGTCCTTTAAATCTCTTTAAGATGTCTTTTAGCCTTTTTATGCTATTTGTTTTTAAAAAATTAGCAAGAAACAGAGAACAATGTATCAGCTTTCTTTTACCTCTTTCTAGGCATCAGATTTTATTATCGAATGCGTCAGCATGTCATACCAAAATACAAGAATCGGAAATGGCACAAGTGGCACTTGTTTGGTTTTGGTGGATATGGAACTCGGCGATTCTTACGATTGTACAGAGAGAAACTTTGGAACGAAAAACGTAAAGCAAGAAAGTATGTAGCAATCAATTTTACTATTTACTAAAATCACATATCAATCTATTCATTCTTGTTAAAAGATAAGGAAACCTTCATTTTGTTGTTTCAGTCGTAACAAAAATCGTGTTGCAATGTTCATAAGGAAATTCCCGAATCTGGATCTTGAAGCTGTAAAAGAACAATTTCCAGATATCGATGTAGAGGCAATAAAAACTTCCAAAAGAGCAAGAGGCCATCATTTATCTGAATAAACGCAGTGTTAATAGAATAACGACGAAGTATTAAACACACATACACATAAACATTGTTATATTTACAAATATAAAATATTCACATATATAAATATTATTGGTAAATTTATATTTATGACATCTTTTTTTAAATATCTTTATTAAGAAATTTATATTTCAAATCATATAATTCTAAATGAATTATATGTATTGCTTAATTACAAACATGATACAGTTTGCATCATAAAGAGGGATATCTTGTTAAAAATAATGTTATCTGACACAATTATTAGAACTATGCAATATTGTAAAATCAAATTATTGTATTATCAACCTCTTAAATTGTGTATAACACAATACATATATAAAGTATTGAGTAATTAAAATTTGAAATGTATAAAAACGACTAAGAAAACATTCATTGTTATTGTTATTGTAACCTATAAAATTATGAATTTGAGAGAGATATGCTTTATTCTCTCTTTTTCCCCCTTTTAAGAGAGATAGTACACATTTTTAAATAGTAAAAAAGGGATTAAATAAAAATTGTTTATATGACATCAAATTCTTTTTATATATTTTAATTAATTTTCTATTTATCATAATTTCTAGATTGTGTACAATGGTACAGAATTATTATGTATGAAAGGTATGCAGACATAACATTTAAAACATGCTGGCTGTAATATGTAAAAAATTTAATTCTGCATACTTTTCATACAATAAGAACTAATATACAAAACCGATTTTATTTTTGCATAGTAAATGCTTTAACTTAATAAATCTCACGAACTTAATAATATATAGCAGATATTTATTACTTTACGACATATCACAATCAGTGCTGCATGAAATAATGCATAAGGTAAATATTTATTGACAAGAATATATAGAATGCATCTATTCATGTAGCTTTGGTAACATAAGATTATAACTTAAAAATTTTGTAACATATATCGTACCCCTGTATATTAATATATATCACAAATAAAAATTAATTTCCATATACACACAGAGAGTTTCTTTTATATTATAGTTGTATATAATATAAGCATATTAAAATTCAATTAATCATATTTCACATCTATTCATTAAAAAAATTAATAATGTATTAATAAATTAATAAATATGGAGTTAAAATTTTACAATTTTAAGATATACCATAAAATGATATATAAAAAGATATGTTGCTAAAAGTATAATCAACTTATAATTTTGTTTATTAAGAATGTTAAATCATTTATTATTATTTTTTTTTATGTAATTATAATTATTTTGATAACTAAAATTTGCTATCACATATTCGCAAAACGTTAAATATATAATAATTTTAATGCAACAAAAATTGATCTAATTTACAACATTTTCACTGATTTAAAAATACATATATATTAAATTAGTATATAGAAACGTATAACACAATTATTGTATTTATATATCATATTTCACATCTATTCATTAAAAAAATTAATAATGTATTAATAAATTAATAAATATGGAGTTAAAATTTTACAATTTTAAGATATACCATAAAATGATATATAAAAAGATATGTTGCTAAAAGTATAATCAACTTATAATTTTGTTTATTAAGAATGTTAAATCATTTATTAATTTCAGAAGCAATTTCTGAAGTATTATTCTTTGTCAAAAAGCTGCTCTTGAAATATTCTTCAATTTTATAGTATCTCCAATAATAGGTAACTACTTTAATATCAATAGTGCGTATTCAAATGCATATTGGTTTGTCTTTTCAATATATGTGAATATATAGACATTCATATAATAATCAAGTGTTGTTTCACAGTTATTGTTATATTACATTTTCTGCGTTATTATAAATTAATAGTAGCTTATTATGTGGTTGCTTATGCTACAGGAGAAAGATAATGCACTGTTTTGCATCTACCCTAAATAGTCATCTATATATTTGAGGCAACTTATATATCTTATATGTAAGATTTCCCTCTAATAATGATCGATCTCTCTCTCAACATCGCAATATAGCGAGAATATTGCATATATATTGAAATTAAAAAATTATCATATTATACTATTATCAGGTATCATATGTCCAAATAAGGACATTTATTTCTCTATCTATAAGCCATAAAAATAACGTCAACTGTTCTAGTTTCAAGTAAAGACCCTCCAGAATCTCTAGTTTCAAGTGACAGATATATGGCATTAATTTGCAATAAAAGCAAAAGAAATTTGGATTATGTTGCATAAGCAGTATATCTTCCATATATGACATATTAGTGTTTCAATTTTCATGTAGTTATCTGAATATTCACGTGCGTTGTCACGAGAATTCTATTTTTCTTTTATGGCAATATGATAAAATAATCTTTTTAATGTAATGGTGTATATTGTCTGTATATTTTTCAGTTACTCTAAAGCTGGTGGTAGCAAGTATCGCCATGCAAGTTCCAAATCCCTGCTGGCATCCGAGCAACGCCGCTGCAATTTATCCTCTGGTGGAAGTGTTGCCATAGGAAACTCACCCTATAAAGGTCATAAAGAGACTGTGTTAGTATATAATTGCATATAACATTAATGTGGAATAATTATATATTATACCAAGTTTGCATTCGCCCATAATGTTTCCAAAACTTCTTTAAACACACAGAGCTCAGTGTGATTTGTGAAGTATATGACCCAATCGCCGCTACTTTCGTGCACTTCTCGACATGCAAATTCCTACAGATATACAATAATACACAATATTATATATACTTTTTTTTGTAACATATATTTAGCGACAAAATATGTCAGTAAAAATTGACAGTCAGCATTATACACTCAGATCAATATGTACTTACTAATATGCACCATGATTGCTGTACTAATGGCACTCTAAATGCTGCTAAATCCTTTATGGAAGCGCAAGAGAGCGTTTGGCCTCTCTGCGTGCCAGGGTGAATTTCCTTCATCGCTACTAGATGTTTCGTAGTTGTGATGAGGCTACAAGGTAGTGGCTCTCTGTTTTCCGTACAATCGAATAGACCCGATGCGCTTTGAACAAAACTCTGTAGCCATTCGGAAGCTACATATTCATCTGGAGCCGCAAATTGGTATGATTTGTTGGGTTTTAACAGTATCTCGAAAGTATGTGGTCGGTGCGAGTTGGGAATCCTTCTGCATCCTTGGCACAAGCCGCCTTTCAACGGTATAGCACGCTTGGGAAGCCGTTGATTCAAATCCGTGAACATATAAACGACGCCGCCTTTTAACACAAAATAACCGGCCTCCCAGGGATTCGTGGGTGCGTTCGGATGCAAGTGTTGATAGGTATGTGGACGAAACATCAGATCACCCTCTTTCGTTGGCCCACACGGTGTACTAGGCGGCGACATGTGTTCATCTTCCATATAAATAAGGCTATAATGTTCGATTTTGTCATCCTATAAAGATAATAAATAAAATTAAAAATAATCTTTTGTAACTGTATATGGATATCAATGTATAGAGTGATTTCTCGCAATAAGAGAAATGTCTATGATGAAATACAGAATATTATGTAATTCATAGATAACCATCAAAACTAAAAACAAACTATACCATGAACTGTATTAAAATGAATTCTATTTTAATGATTAGTTTGTAAATTAACTACTACGATATCGCTATACATTCACAATTTTGAATAGAAATGCAATACTCACTTCATATGATAATTCATACAATAATTGCAGAAAAAGATTTACGTACAGGATGCACAACTGTGTCATTGAGAATTGAATTTCTCAGAATGCGCATGTCCTCGTAATTCAGTTCTTTGACAGCAGGAAGTTTCGGTTTCGAAGGCGATCGTCGCATAGCCATTTCTAAGTGGCCGATTAGTTCTGAGGTAGTTTGCGAGCTGCCAGTGGAGAATAGATACTGCATTTCACAATCGGCGTTAGAAATCAAAATACTTTGTGCATTCGGTCCAATCTAGAAAAAGACAAACATATATTTTTGATATATTAATATATTTCAGAAAAAATAAATATATTTAAATTTTTCTTACCATAATAACATCTAGTTCATTATAAGGAATAACGAACTGATTGCTATAAGAGTGATCCAGTTTTGAGCCGGTTAAATATAGTGTTTTGTTCGTCAATAACGCGATCATCGGCTTACTTTCGCCGTTCGTCATGTACGAACTTCGCACTTTGTATACTTTATATAGTTCTTCCGTTTTGTCGCGATAGATATGTCTCTTGAAAAGTTCGCGTAGTTTTAGGCTTACTTTCTCACCGCTGAATTCCTGTTTCTCAGCGGCTACGTTCTCCTGAATCTCTTTGTCAAGATTATCGTTAAAATCTTTGAAAGAGTCGTAGCTCGTCTTGATTCCTTTGATGTATAAAGTATTTGCCTTGGGCGGTTTCTTGTTCTTCTTAATTTCAAACTTCCTCTCGGTGATCGATCTTAGAAATCTACTCAACAATGATGTTTTCGATGGAGCCTGACGCAGAGGTGGCGCCAAGAGCTTACTGCTGCTTTCACCCGTTAGTATCGCCGTCATGTTGCGCTTCTTCGACGGTGAAGCTAAGTGTCTACTACTTTTACGATCCTCTAGCTCGGATGTTGTCACACTCTCCGCGTCCGACCAATCATTCGAACTAACGTATTTCTTCGGATTTACCATTTGTGGCATCTCCACCTTGGACGGTGGATCCTCGACGATATTGCCACATGCCTTTTCGACGATGTATGCCTCTTGGGCCTCGTTCTCTTCTAACTCTATTTCCATTTTAGGCCTCAAACTCTTAGCCGGGTCTTCCTGACCTTCTGGCGCCCCACGCTCCAACAACGATAAACCGCAACTACATCTACAGTTACGTTGACATGGCATGTCGATACACAGCTTCGATGATGCCTGTTTATCAGCTCCGTCACTGTCGAACACGCTCGACGACGATGACGAAAATGAATAACAGTCTGAGTGCACGTTCCTGTTGGCATTGGCGTTCTTCTGCACGTACGGTGAATCTCCGTGTGCGCACCAACTGTATCTGCCTTTCTGAGCGTCTCTCTTTAGAACAGAACTGGGCAACAAGAAACTCATGGAAAAATCAGCATAATTCTCGTCGTCCTCGAGCTTCATTGTTTTCAATATGTCTTCATGGAAACTGACCCGCTTCTTACTTTCACCGCGCTTTTTCTTACGCTGCCTACGTTGTACTATAGCCTCCGAACTGGAGGAAGATAGAATGCTAGTGTCGGTCATGTTGATTGTGTTCAGAATACCATAAGGGGCATCCATGTTATCACAGTCGGAGATTGTCATGCTCAACTCCAACAGATTTGTATCATTGTTGATTAGATAAGAATTACGAGGATCTATATTTTTCTTAAAACTGTAAGCGGGACTATCGTTGTAATAAGTGCTCCTTTTGCCGTTATCGATTTTGTTTGTTTTATCGGATTTTGCATCGTCAAGACTCCTACTGTAAAAGTCGTAGTCTTTGAGAGTCTCCAAACTAGAGCAATCCATTTCATTGTCATCCAATTTTCGCGTTACATTCTGGTTAACTATATCATTTTTCGTCATCATGACAGTTTGAAATTTAGTAATCGCCGGTGATTGCATTGGCGTTTTACCATCTTCGCTGGAGTCGCTAGATCCAAAATTCTTATTGTCTTCCATGCGATTGTTAATAATTGTCTTGTATCTATTATTGCGATACTTGGGAATATCATCCATTGAAAAGTCCTCCTGTAAAGATTTGTATGGATTTATGTATTTTTTCAATGAATATTATAATCATTTTACGCAATCTTTATCTAATCTGTATCTTACCTCTTTGTAACTGCTTCCATCAGTTTCGTTTGCAAGATCCATATCACTGTCGAATGCAACCCCACTGTCGCCAGGAGAAGCTAGGCTCGATGAAACGCTAGAAGATCTAAGATGCAACGACAAGACTGTTCCTGATGGATTTATGCTCATAGGCCTCTGTGGCATATAGTTGCAAGTATCTAAATACGTCACATCCTGTATACAACAATATTTTAGTTTTATTAATCAGTATATGATATCAATTAGATTATATGTTATCAATTAGATATTAACATATTTAGCAACTTCAGATAATTCTATGCAAATATCTTTTTTTTCTAGCAACATGTTTGTAGAAATTTTCCATGAATAAACAGATCAATTGATATATAGTTCATACCAAATAAGGTGTGTACTCGTAAATAAAATGATAACCTTTGCAACCTTATATAAAAAGATTTTTCTGTATATGTAATTGGTGTTATTCATTAGTGCGATAAGTGTAAAGGGGGTGATATTAGTATCTCTGCATTGAGAGAAACATAATAAAAATTACATGATGTACCAAACATTTAACAGAGAGAGAGAGAGAGAGGAAGAGAGATAAAAAGTTGATTCTGTACTTTTCATAAAAATGCTACTACTTATTAAATACTGCATACTATTTATAAGTTATTTATCACATTAGTTTAACATACCAACTGCAATGTGAAGGACACATTTTCCAGACCAGCAAGAAGATTAACCAGTTGGTTGGTTTTATCAGCATCTCTTACAAGTGCGTGTGAAAAATACTGTTTTTTTAACGTCTTGGTGTCTCGCAGTAAACAACCCAGATAGCTCTCAAAACTGCCTTCACTCAGAGTGTGATAGAGCCATGCTCGACCTGCACAATATTAATAATAATTTAATATTAATAAGAAGAAATCGGAAGAAATATTAAAATATATTCATTCTTAGATGCAACTAAACTTTACTATTGCCTAGATATTGACTGTTAACTCTAATTAACATATCTAGAACTTTAGATTATCATAAAAGTTTTCTTGAGCCAAATAATTTAAGGCAAAATAACTATTTCTTATTACATAAGACATGATACAATTGTTATGAAAATATGTGATTTAATTGTTGTAAGCCATAAAAAATCACTGTTTTAGATCTGTGTTCAATAATTTTATAATAAGATAAAATTATATTGCTGTTAAATGCATTTTAATAAATGAGAATTGAGTAGCAAGAAGCGCAGATGTGAAATTGAATAACAATTGCTCCTATAACAAGACATCAAAACATACCTTTTCCGATAGAAGTCAATACACTCTGCAATGCGTGAATGACCACAACAGTGTCCTGATGACTAAGTTCTCTAGCAGTACCCCAATATCCATGTCTCTCTACACGCAGTCCGTGACGCAATGCACGATCCAGCCAATAAACCAACCAGGAATCACCATCCAAGACCACGGTACCATAGAGACTTTGGGCATAGACCTGTTCAACATATGTATTACTCTCATTGGAGCAAAAAATGTATATAACAAAATAGAAATCTATTATAAACCAAAGCTTGAAAAACATGATTAAAACATGTATCTATATAAAGTTGTGTAGAGACAAATATTTTATTCTATAAATCTTATTTATTTCATTTTTCTTGCACACATACCTCTGATGTATAATATATAGCAACATTTTTTTATTGGATTAAACTTATAAATTATCTAAATAATATATAATATATTATGTATATCGATAATAAATTGTAAAAAAAATATAAAACAAAAATTGAAAAAAAAATCTTTGCTGATTAATACGATTTAATTCGTTTTGATTGACGATTAACGGTATCTCGACAAAATAACAATGAAAATAAAATAAAAATAAAATGAGAATAATATTTTGTCATTTATAGAAGTTAACAAGTAATACATTAAACATATACGATATCATTACGCTTTTCATCTTTTACGAGAGGAACAGCTTCGTTGATAAATATTTTCTTTGCATTAAAAATGACTAGAGTTTTTAACAAGATCGACAATTTTATTCTCGCAGTTTAACGTCAAGTAGCCATTAAAATAACTTATTATTCATTAACACTTATCTATATAAGCACTGCCACTCAACAGAGATAAATGATACTGGCATGGAGTCGATCATTTATCTACGTCAATCTTTGACCGAGGTTGTTGACAAAATCTATTCGCAATCCGTACAACTTTGATTAAATATTTTGATTCCGTTTTAATTTAAAAATATCACTCTAACTTGAATGTCAAGGCTAGTTTTCCACTGAGCGTTATAAATATAGAAAATGCATAGAGAATCTACAAAATAATTAACTTCTAAATAATGGCAAAGAATAAATAGTCATCAATAGTTCTTTCAAGTATAACGGAAGAGAGAACAAAAATTATAAGATAGAAAAATGATATATTAAAATATTAAAAATAGAAAAAACACTTCCTTCTTTTTGTAATACGTTTTGGATTAAAAATGCCTAGAATTTGTAAACGTCAAAATTCGACTTTTTCTCTAATTAGGGTTATTTCTTGTATTAAATTTCTTTATCGATCGATACTACTATCGATCGATACGCTGTGTTCATTTACTTTTTGTATCACAGATGGTACCACAATTCGCAATAATAGACGAAAATTGTTACAAAATTTTAAATATCCAAGAAACAATTATAGAAAGATATAATGTTAATTAATATCTTGTATATCTTTATTCATTTATGGAACTAAGATTTTTATATTTATTTCTACATTTAACATTTTTTGAATTTTGGTAGCTTTTCTTATAAATTTTCATGAAAATCATATTTATTTTTCTCTCGTTCAAACATGTCGTATAAAAATTGAGATATCAATGTCTAAAGAATTTATTTTAAATTAGTGTTCATATATATTTATCAATACTCTAATATTGCGAAATAATACGTCTGGTGCTATTAAATTACAAAAGATTGCGAAAATTTATATAATAAACGACAATGGGTTCTTTTACGTTATGATATCGAAATCATGGTTACAAGTTTAATTTTGCCGGTCTTCTGAGGAACCTGCTTGATCCGTTCTATTTTTACTTTCGCGAGAGCTACTTGAATTCGAATGCGGATATTTATCCGAAGTGTACTTGAATTTTATCTTCGATTTACCCTTAGAGTTTCGTACGCGCTGTACAATTTCCTCAATGCATCTTTGATCCTTTTCGCTAATGCTAGAACTTACACCGCTACCCACATGCTCTTCGAGTTCTCTGAAATTGTAATAATCTTCTTAAAGCTGTGTATTACTACATTAAGCAGAATTAAATTTCGTAGGAATAACAGATTATAATTAACATTAGCAAGAAAAGATCTACAAACTGTAGAGAATTAAATTAATCATTTAATCGAGATATCAATTTGTAAGATTTCACACGAAGATCAGGTTATATAATCTTGTATTAAATACTCGTGTGTGTTTGCTCTTTTATCTGCGTAGACTATAAATTAATTAAACAATTAGTTTGATAAAATAGACATTGAAGATAATTCAATTTAGGTAAATATTTCCAATTAAAATTTATTATTATTTAAAAAATAAATACATTTATTGTGTCATTATTTTCAAATTGTTTCATGAAGAGAAAAATTTCGCGCCTTTTTGCCTAAAGCGCGGAAAGACGCTGCACGTCATCGCTATGTATGACATACTTAAATCACGATATATTGCGGCAATTTCACGGGCAATCTCGCGATGCGTCGGAATGGAACCGCGGTAATTCCGCGATTGTTTCGCCGTACATATAAATAATCGATCGATATATGTACCTATTTGACTTTACTTGCGTCGTCCGATCAGCATTACGAATGAGTTTAGCTACCGAGAATATAGAGAACATGGAAAGAACAAACGATGGATCATTGCAACGAGTTTATCAAGGCAAGTAATCTTTGCATATTACTATATTATGTAAAATATAACGAATTACAGAAAAAAGACCGATTCTTCAAAAGTCGTAGAGAGCTTCTAATTAATCTTTTAATCAAGAATCAATTTGTGAGATTTGACACACGAAAATTATATAGGTGGTGCAATTTTGCAATAAATATCCGTATGTGTGTTTGCTTTTTTATCTGTGTAAACTATAATTAATCAAACAGTTGTTTCGATAAAACAGACATATTATAGATATAAAATTTTCATCAAAATTCATTATTGCTTGAAAGACCGATTACATTTATCGTATCATTATTTTTAAACTGTCTCACGGAGAGAAATATTTCGCGCCCTTAGCCTAAAGCGCGGGAAGAAACGTGACACGTCATCGCTATGTATGACATACGTCACGATGTATCGCGACAATTTCACAAGCAATCTCGCGACGCGTCTGGAACCGCGACAGTTTCGCGATCGTTTTGTCGTCCAAATAATCCATCAATATACGTATTTGGCATTATTTCAGTCATCCGACCAACATCACCAGTGAGTTCAGCTACCGAGAATATAGGGAGGGAGCATGGAGAGAACAAACGATAGATCATTGCAACGAATTTATCAAGACAAGTGTTCTCCGCATATTACTATACATACTATGCAGAAATGTATATGGGTGTACTCGTATAGAAAAAAACAAATTACAGTAAAAAAAAAATCTGTTATTCAAAAGTGATAGAAAACTTTTAATTAATTCTTTAATCATGATATCAATTTGTAAGATTCGACACGAAGATCAGGTTATATAATCCTATATTAATAGTACGTTAAGAGTGCGTATATTTTTGCTCTTTCATCTGCGTAGACTATAAATTAATCAAACAGTTGTTTTGATAAAACAGACACATTACAGATATAAAGTTCTCGATTCATTATTACTTGAAAAACCAAATACATTTATCGTGTCATTATTTTTAAACTGTCTGATGAAGAGAGAAACTTCGCGCCCTTAGTCTAAAGCGCGGGAAGAAACGTGACACGTGATCGCTACGTATGACATACGTCACGACGTATCGCGGCAATTTCGCGGGCAATCTCATGGCGCTTTGGAACGGAACCGCGACAGTTTCACGAGTGTTTTGTCGTACAAATAATCCATCAATATACGTATTTGGCATTATTTCAGTCGTTTGACCAGCATCACGAGTGAGTTTAGCTACCGAGAATATAGGGAGCATGGAGAGAACAAACAGCGGATCATTGCAACGAATTAATTAAGGCAAGTAATCTGCGCGTTTGGTTATCATCATTCATAACCATTTCATTTGATTAATGCATCTACCATATTTACACAAGCGTCGCATCGCATTTCGAATCTTTTATAGTGAAAACTGCAGCGTAATCCCTATGTCCGCACTTTTGATCGATTACAGCATTGACTCTGCAAATTTATAAAAAATACCTTACAGGTTTCACTGCAATTCTTATGTATTATGCGCATAATGAACATCAATACTCGTCTCTCGACATTAAACAACTTCAAAATGAGATGCGATCGTTTATTATTAATGAAATAAATTTAATTAAGCAGAGCTCACTTCTGATGTCGATGCAGCTTTGCAATTAATTTATTCAGATACAGCGTTTCTTTTTGCATCACTTTTAGTTCCGATTCTTTTTCCTGGGAATAAAAAATCGCTGATGTAAATTAAACATTATTTCTTGCCTTAATTAAAATAATAATTTTAATAATTATTAACTACAAATGTTTTAATATTTTTAAATTGTTTGCATTATTTATATATCAAGTTTGATTAGCCAAGATCAAGTTGTTAGTCACAGATGCGACCACATGTGGATGCTTTATATGTATGCAATACAAGTATCTCTTTTATAATAATTGAAATAAAATAATATCAAAATCGAAAATAAGAATATCTTATCATAAGAGGTATTTATGCATGCTACGTGTATAGATAGATTCGTGAAAACGTATTAACGCTAAAAATTTTACAAAACGTTTAATATTTTTGGTGCGAAAGCCTTTTCTTTATGAATTATGCCGTTTTGTTACGCCAGTTTAATATTCGACACATCAGCTTAACATTCCGGAATCTAATTTTCATTGTATACTGAGATTTTCTGTTATTACCGTCAAAGCCTTCGTAATCACGCAAAGTTCGTTCTGGCGAGTTTCGTAGAGATGACGCGTGGTGATCGTCTCCGCGGTTAGCCGTGCTAATTGCTGCTGGAAATTCCTCTCGCGCTCTATTGCTTTATCCCAAGCTTCTTCTCGAACAATTACAGCATCCCTCAAAGTTTGCATATCCCTCTCCAGTAACTCAAATTCTGATCTATTCACGTCGTTAGAAGTATGAACACATGTAATTGACGGATTAAGCGAGAAAAAATGTAGAAAAATTGTAGGATGTAATAAAATAAGATTAAATTAGTATTATTTAATTATTATAAAATTAGCATAGTTTCTTCTGACGTTTAATTAATATTCGTTAAAAAAGACAATTTATGATCAGAAGTTTATTCTCTTCGTTTTCATTAATATCCGGTAAATTTGTAAAATCTACGGAAATCTTTAAATTTTAATCAAACTTATTTGAAATGAGTTATACAAAAATATACTGCAAAAGTTACTTACAATTATAGATATCACTTTATTTGTAATATTAGTAAATTTCTAAGATATCAATCGCATATTTTATCCATCTAATCTAGCGAAAATATCAGATATTTGCAGGTTTCGTGGTTAAAAATTTAATTTGCAAATTTGACGATTAAAATGTTTAATTCATACGTGCTTTGATTTAGAATATTAAAATTTAGAAGTTTGAATTACGAGAGATTGCATTTGGATATGTGCTTGCCTAATCTCTCGTGTAATTGAAGCGTGTACCGATTTAACTAACTTAAACCTATGAGAACTTACTTCGTGATAGTGACCGTAGGTAATTCCCTTTGGCAACCTTCCAATTTCCCGTGGCAATCTTTGCAAGTTTCCCAAATTTGTAACTCGCAATCTGCCTTAGAAACGATATCCGTCGATGAAGTGCACTTATCTATCAGACAGATTTTGTCATTTTTCTGAAATTTGCACATAACAGATTTCAAATTCATATATTTTACATTTAATACTGTGCAAATTTTATATGATAATTTATATGAGATTTTACAACAGTAACGTAAGAATTTGAGGTATCACCGCATTTATTAAAAATTGTATATAACAAAAGAAATATATATAGATAACATAACAATAACGCGATGTCTGTGATTAAATACATGTTACCCGGAAAAAATTAATATAAATTTAGAAAAGTAATAATTAATTAATGTTTTATTATTAAAAAATTTTGAATTAATTATTTTATTCTTATCTCAAAATATTTATTCGATTTTTATGTACTGCAACATAAAATAGCATCTATACATTCAATTTAATTATATCTTTTCAAATACTTTTCCATCATTCAGCAAATATTATGGTTCTCACCATTTGCTTTGCTGACATATCGGTTAACTTCAGTCTCTCATTACTAAGTTTATTTTGCAACAGTGATACATTCTCTTGCAGTTTCTCCATTTTAATTGCGTCCTTTTCGAGCCTGCGTACCGAGAATTATCTTGAGTTTGGCAAGTTTGTTTAAGATAGAGAAATTTGTCAAATTGCAAACGTAATTGTTATATTACGCTTGATTTAGAGAACGCGTAATTAACCATGTAATTAACTACAGTGGGAATCTCTCACCGCCTTGTCAAGTTCTTGTTTTCCGCGGTAAGATCGCGATTTCTGAGATGCAGCGCCGCATTGCTGTCCTCCAGCAGCTTTAAGCAAATCTGCATCTTCTCGATCGAGACCGCCGGCGTCGATTCACGATGCCTCGTCGTGTATGTGCCCGCGATTCTCGCCATTTGTACGTTCGAATCTGGAAACGGCGGATCGCCCCTGCCTACGACGCGGAATTCCAAACCAAATTAATATTCGTCGTTTCTGCGACTGACATGCTTCGCATCGCATTGTTCGAACATACGATTAAAACGAGATGGTTGCTCAATTGGGTAGAAATTGATAATTCGATTAAATCATAAAATAAATATCATTTCCATATATATTTAAGTTTGATCAATTTTTTACAGATTTTATTTAAATAAATAAAATAATCAAAGTTTTTAACAATTGTTATTAATATCTATAATAGTAAAGCAATGTAGCAATTATTAATGATATATTTAAATTATACGATTAAATTATTAATATATATGAGAAAATTAATATTCTTGAGTACATATATATTGCTTAATACAAAAAATTTTTAAATTAAATTTTTGCACGTTAGAGACCAGAAAAAATAGCATAATTTCTTCTAATTTCTGCGTAATATTTTTTACCTTCTTTATATGTTTCGTTATCATTTCTACTCAAATTAGATGGCTTCCAATTTGAATAATTTCTTGGGTAACTTTCTGAAAGATGGATAAATTCATACAATTTGATGTACTGTAGTCATAAAATAAATATCATTTCCATATATATTTAAGTTTGATCAATTTTTTACAGATTTTATTTAAATAAATAAAATAATCAAAGTTTTTAACAATTGTTATTAATATCTATAATAGTAAAGCAATGTAGCAATTATTAATGATATATTTAAATTATACGATTAAATTATTAATATATATGAGAAAATTAATATTCTTGAGTACATATATATTGCTTAATACAAAAAATTTTTAAATTAAATTTTTGCACGTTAGAGACCAGAAAAAATAGCATAATTTCTTCTAATTTCTGCGTAATATTTTTTACCTTCTTTATATGTTTCGTTATCATTTCTACTCAAATTAGATGGCTTCCAATTTGAATAATTTCTTGGGTAACTTTCTGAAAGATGGATAAATTCATACAATTTGATGTACTGTAGAAAAAAATATAACTGCTGTGATTTAAGAGACGGTATATTGCGTCACATATTGGATCAAAGTGTTATATCTTTTATATGAGAAAATATAGCAGCGAAACTCGTATTCTACAATTTGCTCTGATATTAAGTTAGAAAGGACAGTTTTATTTTGTCTCTATCTAAGTTTGTAAAATTTTCAAGTAATATCATCAGTTTCCAGAAATATGTAATAAAAAATTTAGCAATTCTAATTTAATTTAAAAATAAAATAAAAAAAAACATTAGACAAATAATCTAAACCTTTATATAAAAGTCATTTTCGAATTTAGCATAAATTCTCAAGAATGTAAAGAATATGAATTTTATCTCTATATTTTCTGTACATTATACTTTAATGCAATTAGGTTTTTATAAAAATAAAATATAGGAAGTTACATACTATTGCAGACTTCGGAACAAGGGTTTTTGATGGTAGATGTATGGCAGGTCGTCGTATAACAGCTGTGAGGATACTTAAAGTCCAAGTGCAATCCATCCCGCCGCGAATCCATTGTTCGGTAATGAGTGCACGACATAGCTCTCCGCGTTCTCGCCGATAAGACTGACAAATGTAACTCCGTTATAAGCCACTCACTATTCTGGAAAGAAAATTCTCTCGTCTATCTTTCTATCTTCTTCCACAAAGTGAACGTATGTTATAGTTCCTTTCACGAAAATGCCTTTTTTAAGCGTAATTCTTTAATAACCGATAGAACGAGATTCATCTTATACGATTTAATGTGATTTTTTCATGTTTATGACTCTTCAAAATTAACTGTTCTAAAAACAAGAATATATATAACTTTTGTATTAAAATAACTTGTCGTCTGTGCCGTTGACCAGAATGCTGACACCTTTTCTCAGTCTTTCTTTTTCACGGGCGATAAATAATGATTACTGTGAACCACTGATCATGGGATCGGCAGGTCCCTTACCGACCTAAAAGACCTTTTCCTCGAGTCTTCACATATCCTCGCTTAAAGGGGTGGAAACGAAATGGATATGTTACGTAAGCCACATGCGCTGCATGTTCTACCGTGAAATTTCATTAAATCTCCTGTGTGGCCATTGGTTACCGAATTCCTTTGTTTCCAACGTATGTTGCTGCATAGTTCATGACTATTAACAATATGCAAACTTGGTATAAAACGTTGCTAATAGCGAATTCGGTCATTTGCACTGCGTTGCACTGGTGCATATTAAAGACTGCTATACATGTGAAGTTATCTAATAAAAAAGAATAATATAAACATTTTAAGTAATTAAAATCCAATCATGATAAATTGTCATTTTATTTAACGGAACATACATTATTTTTTTATCATCAAAATGTTTATATATTATATCATTGCATTTATATACTTCATAAATAGCAGCCTTTAATGTGCACTGATGTGATGTTGTGCAAGTGACCGAATTCTCTATAAGTATTACAACGATTATTTTGAGGTAAATGATAATTTTCGCATGTAAAGTATATTTTTTATTAACTTAATTTATGACATTTAGTAAAATTTTTATTTTAGATTTTTAAAGATTGTCGTATAAGCAAAATATTTATATACAATATCAAATATATATGTATATACGTATATAAATATAGGTCTTACATTTGTATCGAGTATAGCCATAATTTATAGCGTGACATTCATAAATAATTCAGACTCTTGGAATTTTAAATAAGAACGCTAAATAAAGTACGAAGCTAGTCAAAAGCTAAATTAAATATCTGTTAGATATATAAAAAATTCATACATAGTAAATAATAATATTGAAATGAAACAGCGGAGATATTTCTCTGCGAAAGAATGAGCATCAAATGATCATTCGAGGCATTGTTTGAATTATCATGGGGCGCCATTAGGCTTTATGATTACATGAGTCGTAAATGGAGATGAAGACAAAAAAAAAATTTATTTTGGCCAGCCAAAATACGCATCGCGTATTTTTCGCGCGATTTAATGTTACCGTGTAACGTTCGCAAATGTTCGCAATATACGATATGAGCAAAATTTAAAAGAAAAGTTTAAGATATATTTAGAAAAAGAGAAACTAAATTAATCTTTATTTCACTTGAAATATAATTAATTTTGTGGATATTGTTATGTATATATACGTGAAACATAATGAGCAGTAGAAGCTGTAAAATATATTTGTGGTATTTATAAGAAACCTATAAAATAAATTTATTCAATTAATATTTGGCTTGATGTCTATGAAATATCAAATTTAATTTGATTGAAACTCTACATCATTTTATGCTACAAGTTAAAACCCTATACAATTTTATATTTATATTATTGTTTTTATAAATTATTAAAACATTTTCATAATTAAAGGATTAAAGGAGAAGTAATAAAACACACTTTTTCACGGGCGATAAATAATGATTACTGTGAACTACTGATCATGGGATCGGCAGGTCCCTTACCGATTTAACAAAACTCTATTTAAAAAAGCAAGAGTTGCATATTGCAAACTCTTTGCATCTTTGCAAAGAGTTGTTATATAGTTTATAAATAATAAAATTAAAAATTGCCTTAAATAATTTATACATTTATTTATCTTTATCTACAAATAGTATTATTGAAATGTATATACTTATTGAGATGTATATACGAACAATGTTACATTATATGTATATAATCATAATAATTTACATAATATATTCGTTTTTACACAATATAATTAATAATGCATATCAGCCTATGCATTTGCATGTTTAAAAATTATATATGCATTGTTGTATTTATTATACATATAATTCGCGCATTGACATAAAGATCTTAGCTCCGAAATACAATGAACAGTCAAGGTTTAGTATAACAAAAATACTATAATTAAGAGTTTCTAAAATTAACAATATAAATAAGATAGAAAGAGGCAAATCATATAAGTACGTAAAGACGCGCGCAATATTTAGATCAAATGGAACGTGCGTTACCGTATATTAAATTAAAAGGCTTACTATATGCGCGTATCACTTAGAGCATGTATTATTGAATTAAAAAGAAATTTCTACACAAATCAGTCTTAGCACCAAAATAAAATAAGTTGCATATGTTCATAAAGAGATAACAGATAATGTTTTTTTCTTCTCTTTTTGATGTTATGAATACTTTGTAACAACTTAAATTGTTAGATAAACATTAATAAATCGCGTGTAAAATGCAAACAAATTGTAATTATTCGGTCTCTATAATTTATTTAAAATAGCTAGGTCAACATATAATTCTAACTCTCGTGTCCTACATTTCAATATCGCGTTGATTTTCAAAGCTCATTTTGAATGAATATTAAGACACTGATGATCGAACAGACATATTACACACAGTGATCGCGTTTACGATGGATTGAATAGCGGAAACGTAGTTTTAGAGAAGGAGGCGAAGAGCAAACGTTAACGCTTCGTTATCCAGATGTTCGTTGTGTGTGTATATACTCTTACTAAAATATCTATTCATTATAAGTACTTTGTTTATGCAACAACATATTTCTAAATCACCGTACAAGACGAGATCTGATGAATTTATCGGAAAAACTATCATCGATCTATCATCGTATAGATCATGATGCTGATAGATGATAGATCATAAGATGTTACGATACTTTAGACAGTCATAACACTCACAAAAGTGCAGGTAGAATATATAATACACATTAATATGTTACACATCATTATTTTACGGATATATATACACGCGGATATAGTTTCTCGTATATTTAGCTATATTATACATTTAGATGCGTACATATACGCACGTATACTTTGAGCGTATTATTTTCCACACAGGCTGTTCGATGGCTGCGGCTAGATATCTTTTATCCTATGGCTATTATCTCGAAAATATATGAAAATATGTTGATAAAACGAAATGTGAAATACAGAATATATTATATTTTTTATTACAACTACTATTTTAAGAATATAATACATATGCGCAATATATCTCGCGTATATTACATATGATGCAGTAGATAGAGAATTGATTAAACAATTATAATACATTCATCATTCTATCAAATATGTAGTTTTTTTATATATCATTTTGTTTATATATAAAAGCGGAATATTCTAGAACCCGCTATTTTAATTTTAATAATAGATTTGGATGATCTTAAAGTCGAGTCAACGAAAAAGAATAATTATCACATTCTGGCAAGAAAATAAAATGTCTCGGAAATGAAAGCGAGAGGATAAAAGGTATCTTTAACAATCGATCGAGCCCAAAATAAGTTTATCTAATATGTCTAATAAAACCACGCAGGTAATAGGAAACATACATTATTACCGCACTCTAAATGTTCTCTTTAATACTGATACCATGAATGCTCACACACAGTTATTTTAGATTAAGTATTGTATTGTGATTATTTTTTTGCGATTTACGTAAAGTTTCTTTAAATCTAATTTTTATGCCTGAGAAGTAGAAGAAAATAGTACAAAATTATTAATTTTTGAAACATTGTTATTATCATCAAGAAAATAATTTGTATGAATTAAAAATATAAAATCTCGAAATTTATAAGTATGGAATTAATTATGCATAATTAGTATGCATTAATTATTGCAAAAATACAATAAATTTGCTTTGTATACGTAAAAGGTTTCAAAATAAATAATTTATATTTTTTTGGTAAAAACTATTTATAAAATTTTGAAGGAGGGGAAGTTATATGTTAGATATTTTACATACAAGTTTCTTAATCTGATA